TCCTAATCGTCAGATGACTGCAGATTTTCTGATTCGAATTTTAAAGCCAGATCTATCCTGTGCTATCTTGGTACACTCTGCCGAGTTCTGAACTTGTTTCACATTTACCAAGCAGCTTCAGGTCTGCTGTGAGTCGCAGCTTGGGTGGGGTCTGTCCCATGCATTGGGAGCTGTCAGCCCAGTGACTCTGTGGTCAATAAAAGCAGCATGCACCTGCATGTACCTGCATGTGCCCTATTGGTCTGTGTACTGAAAGCCTAGAAGAGAGAAAGAGTCAATGAAATTGACACAGGAGTCCCAGCATATCGATTATAAAAGAGAACTAGGGGCTGAGAGATGACTCTGTGGTTAAGGCACTTCCATTCTAGAAGACCTAAGTCTGGTCCCCAGCTCCCACCTCCAGTCCTTACCACTAACTGCCTGCCAGTCCAGCTCCAGGGCATCAGGGCTCCCTCTGCTGGCCTCTACAGTCACCTTACACACATGGGTCAACCTAAGAACATGTGTTCTTTCTTCAAGCGTCACACACACCACCAACAACAACAGCAACAACTAAACAAAAACCCCAAAGCCAACATTTTAGAAACAAGGCTTGCTGACCTGTGCTCGCGTTACCGGCATGACCCCAGAGATGCTCAGAGGCTCGGTTTGAGAGATGCTCATTGCATCTTACAGAGGGATTCTACAAAGCCCTATCTCCCAGCCTTCCCTCCAGGGTGATCTGTGGGGACAAGGTTAAAACTGAGTCCTGCTTACACCTAGATAAAGATCAGTGGATGGATCCAGCCGTTTGTTTCCAGTGGTCAAAGCAACTTCGGTCACATTTTATTTTTAGCCAGAGAAATAAGACCATAAACTTTCCCCTGGCCTGATTTAAGTCTCTGGTTCAGCCCCTGCATATCCATGAAATGCCCTTGGCTTTCTGGTCTGCCCCCTTGCCACGCACACAGGAGGGTGAATCTCTTCCATGAAGCTCCTGTACCCCTGACTTGTCTGTCGCTCAGACAGCATCATACAGGGCGTCACTCTCATTTTGTTCTGTGAGCACAGGTTTCTGCAGTCACTGGGTTTTTAAAACATTTCTTAACAATTGCAGGTTACTTTCCAGATGGCTCTGTGTGAGTCACACTGTTAACTGGTTAGTAATTTACATTGTTCCTTGCACTCCCTATCGCAAAGAATATTTTTTGAGACCGAGTCTTATTATGTAGTCTTGACTGTCCTGGGACTCGACTATGTAAGTCAGGCTGGCCTCAAACTCAAACAGACCCACCTGCCTCTGCCTCCCAAGAGCTGAGATTAAAGGTGATTGACACCACAACCCCTAAAAGATTTTTAAGTGTAACTCCTCCAACTCTGAGTTATCTCATCATGATGATAACAATGGTGAATGGCCTGCAGTGCTTCCAGGGCGAGGCCCCTGATGGTCTTTCATGCACCCTTGGTATTATGCAATCACATATCCCGTGAAAAACCTGAATCAGCTTTGCAAAGCTGTGCCTCAAAGGCCTCAGTGTTAAGCACACTGCGTTCCATAAGTAGACTGGCTGGCAGGCCGCCAGAGTCTGGATCTGAAGTTGGTATTGTAAAACTTTAAGACAATTCTGAAGCCATTTCTGAACCCTCTCCGTACTTTCCCTCCTCCCCTGGGAACCAAGGACATAACAGCTATGCATGCACGTACTGAGATGTTGGGAACTTTCCATCTCCCTGAATAGGGGCAAGATAACCCTTAGGTGTTGACTCAGTTGCTGATGTTTTGACTTAGTACCTGGGAAAGGGGTAAATTGACCCTCAGAAGTTTCCCCTTACCTCATTTGGCAACCACTCTCCAGCCAATTATTGGTAATAGCCCTTTTGAATAAGTCAATCATACTAGTTATAGAACAACCCCCAGATACCCCTTCCTTCTGTGGTTTTCCCCTTTAAAAGTAGCCTGTACCAGCTATTCGGGGTCTTTTTAGCATCCCTAATGCTGAAAGACCCTGTCATGACAGAATTAATAAAATCCTCATGCTTTTACATCAGCTGTGATGTGAGAGATGGTCTCTTGGGGCGACTCCTCCTCCTCGGTGATTGGACGCTAGGGTCCAACAGTATTTGATGGATGGCAAAGTCCCAGTGTCCCAGTGTGCTTTCTACTTCTGTGATGAGCACCACGACCATAAGGGACTTAGGGAGAAAAGGGCTTACTTCATCCTACAGCTTATAGCCTATCTTGAAGCAAGGACTCAGGGCAGAAACCGGAGGCGGGAATGGAAGCGGAGGCCCTGGAGGAACCACTGCTTACTGCCTTGCTCCAGAAGCTCACACCCAGTTACTTCTCTTACGGCTCCCAGGATCACCTACCAAGAGGCTGGGGCTCTCACATCAATCATCAATGGACAAAATGCCTGACAGGGCCCACAGGTGCGGGTCTGCTCTATCTTGACCAAAGGTCAGAGAGTTGGAACTTCTGCTCTCTCGAGGTTATTGACAACAGGTGTGGCTAATAGCCAGACCCAGTATTTCTGGTATTAAGAAGTAGATCTGTTTCTACCTCTGACAACAATCTAAGGACACAACGAGGTTCCTATTCCCTTAGGAAGGTAATAATGGGTTCCACACAGGGAGTGGTTTACCTACAGAATGTTTTGGTCTAGGTGTGAGTGTTACTTGTCTTGTTTTGGCAACAGAATATTTAACTAAGAATGTAACCCATAATCCTTCAACTGGTTTGTTCGTTCCTTGTATAATAAAAGTGCACGTTTTATCTTATTCCTACCTTTTGGGGTCAGGTATTTAAGCAAATGGAAATTATACATGGGTGACTGTTGGAAAATATTACTTTAAGGTGTGTTACTTTTTTTTTCCCCATAGCTCTATCATTTTTATTTCGTTAACAAAATTAATACATTTTTAAAACTCATTTTGAACCCTGAACTCATTATACATCCCAGGCAGGCCTTGAATTTACATCCTTTCTGCCTCAGCCTATTGGATGCTTGGGATTGACTGTGGACGCCACCGCACCCATATGAGGGGGTGTGTTGGGGTTGCCTTTGTCAGCACCCAGGCCAGCTGCCCTAACAAAGTGTGTGCACTCCTGGCAGGAGACTTCTGGGCTGAGCTCAGCGCTGCACCCTGGCAGTCCTCCCCTGGAAAACCACCAAGACCCACACAGAAGTCCACAGTCCAGAGGACCATGGCTCCGGAGAGCTGGAGAGACCAGCGGAGATCAACAGCAATGACAACAGGGCATCCGAGTTCCAGGAATCGCTCTGCCCTCGTCGCCACCTGGCGTGGTTGACGTCCCTGGGTATAATTTGGAGGCGTTAAGATTTCTTTCTCAGCAGGGCCCTCCAGAGGTTTAAAGGCTAAAATGAGTGGACACTGGACAAGACTCTCTGTCAGTGAGGAGAAGTGCCTGTTCAAGAGGTCATGCCCGCCAGCGCTTTCACAGCCTCAGGTGGCTGGCCAAGCATCACCTCCCAGTCGCTGCCTCTTTGATCTCAGGTAGGAGAAGCTGTTGACAGAACTATCAGTCATCAGCTATTGTCCTGCACTAGATGGTAGCATTCCTTGATTTTTTTCCCCCTGTGAGAGAGGGTTTCTCTGTGTAGGCCTGGCTGTCCTGGAACTTGCTCGATACCCTCGGCTGGCCTCAAACTCACAGAGATCTGCCTGCCTCTGCCACCCCCCAAGAGCTGGGATTAAAGGCGTGTGCTACTACTGCTAGACTTGATATGTTTTGTTTTGTTTTGTTTTGTTTTTTATTTTTTATTTTTTTTTCCTTTTTTTTATTAAATTATAAAAGTTTCCATTTCAGCCCCTCCTCCCAACACCCTCCCAATCCCCCCACTCCCTCTCCTCCTCCCTCTCCATCCCCTAGAGCAGTCAGGGTTTCCTGCCCTGTGGGAAGTTCAAGTTCCTCCCCCCTCCCTCCAGGTCCAGGAAAGGTGAGAGTCCAAACAGACTGGAGCGCCAAAATCCAGTATATGCAGAGGAAGCAAGTCCCAGTGTCATTGTCAATGGCTTTTCAAAAAGGCTCCGGGCCAGCCACATTCAGAGAATCTGGTTGGATCACGACCTCGTTCAGTCCCAGTCCAACAGGCCTTGGTGAACTCTCATTATATCAGTTCCCTTGTATCAGTGGGTGATCGCATCCCTCGCAGTCCTGATTACTTTTTTTATTTTCTTCATCTTTCTGTTCCTCATTTGGACCGTGGAGTGCTCAGTTCGGTGTTCCAATATGGGTCTCCATCTGTATCGCCATCCAACGTCGGATGAAGGTTTCCTCTGCCCTTGCCTTCTTTGCTCACGTTCTCTTTCCTTCTGCCTCTTATTTGGACCTAGGGAGCTAGGTCCAGTGTTCCAACGTGGTTCTCCGCCTCCATCTCCATCCATCTCCAGATGAGGGTTCTGGATAAAGGCTGGGACTGGAATCAGGAGAGCTCCGCAGGGAGTAGTCGCCTCTGCCTGGTGACCAGATTGTCGAGGGGGGCCAAGGTGTGTTACTTTTGTCTCTGCTGCATTTGATTAACTCTGAAGCTGTGATTCTTTGTCTGTCTAAAAACACCGAACGGCCCTACAAATGAGTTGAACAGAGTCAGGAGCAAGGAAAGGCGGGGCTGGCAGGCAGAGAGTATAAATAGAAGGAGAAACTAGAACGAGGAGCTAGAGAACAAGAAGAGGAGGACATCAGAGGCCAGCCACCCAGCCACACAGTCACACAGCAAGCCATGGAGAAAGAAGTAAAGTAAGGTATACAGAAATAGAGGAGGATAAAAGCCCAGAGGCAAAAGGTAATTTAAGATAAGAAAAGCTGCCAAAAACGCAGCCCTCGGAGATGTGTGTGGATCTGTGTGTTGCTTCAACAGTGTTCGAACGGAACAAACTCGAGGCTTCCAGCCATTCTTCATTCTCTCCAGTTGCAGCCTCTGGGACCATCTTCTCCCCGCCTTCTGCTCCTAGGACAGCCAGCACCGTCTTTGCGGTTAGCTCCAGACTGCATCTCAGCCATGACCTCCCAGGTTCGTCAGACTTATTCCACCGAAGTGGAGGCTGCCGTGAACAACCTGGTCAACCTGCACCTGTGGGCCTCCTACACCTACCTCTGTCTGGGCTACTATTTTGGTCGGGATAACATGGCTCTGGAGGGTGTAGGCCACTTCTGTGAATTGGCCGAGGAGAAGCGCAAGGGTGCCAAGCGTCTCCTTAAGCTGCAGAACGATCGTGGAGGCTGTGCATCCTTTCAGAATGTGCAGAAGCCATCTCAAGATGAATGGGGTAAAACCCAGGAGGCCATGGAAGCTGCCTTTGCCTTGGAGAAGAACTTGAACCAGGCCCTCTTGGATCTTCCTTCCCTGGGTTCTGCTCACCCAGATCCTCATCTCTATGACTTCCTAGAAAACCACTTCCTGAATGAGGAGGTGAAAGTCATCAAAATATGGGCAACCACCTGAACAACCTTTGCAAGCTGGCAGGGCCCCAGGTGTCTCTGGGCAAGTATCTCTTTGAAGGGCTCACTCTCAAGCATGACTAGGAGGTCTCTCATTCCAAGGGTTTCCTGCTTCTTCTCTGAACCAGCCAGCCTCAGGACCTTCACTCAAACCTCTCAAAAAGCCACTAGGCAGCTTTGTAACCTCCCTGGAGCCCCTCTCAAGTCTTGAACCAAGTAAAAATAAAGCCTTTTGAGACAGACAGGAAGGAAGAAAGGAAGGAAGGAACGAAGGAAGGAAGGAAGGAAGGAAGGAAGGAAGGAAGGAAGGAAGGAA